CAGGACACACAAAGTCCCGCGCCATGACTATCGAATTAATTTTTTTTAGGTATATCTTTTTCACTAAAAGCCAAGGCAAGTTAGGATAAAACTAACCAAGTCTAGTTTGCTTGATTCCACACAGCAGAAGAGGAAAGGTTCTTTCGAAGAAAAAAAAGAAAAATTATTATAAAGAAATATTTTTATTGACTAAGTGTTAGTCTGAGGACACACATACAACATGCATGTTCACTTTGATGCTGACACACCAGAGAACAGATTCAGCCCATGAACTGTAGCTGTGTATCTGCATCGCCATGGAGACCAGACATTACAAGACTTTAAACATGCATTTGGGCCTACTTTGGAAAACATGGTGAATACATCGCTGAAGGTTATAGATGCAATGTATACAGCACATTTCCGCCCAGAAGGTTTGATTCACAGGTGATGTTTTTCATCAGTCTGTGCATTGTAAATTTTAAAATATAGATGTACCTGAAGCAACACAACGGAATATCCTGCGAGAGTTAAATGGAGAGTTAAACTTCGGAAACAGATCTGAAGTTTGTGGATACTGGCATGTGAACTAAAGAGTATTTAAAGTCTGTTATTTAATACACAGGTAAGAAGCACTCAAGCTAATAAACTTTGGTTTGGTTGAGCAAGCATAGAGGTGACTAACGGGATCGGGTGGTCAGGCACGCTGACTTGGTTGATGCATGTCATCGCATCCCAATTGCGTGGATCAATGCTCATGATGTCAATCACCGGATTGTCTGGTCCAGACTCGATTATTTACAGACCGCCGTCATATAGCTGGAATATTGCTGAGTGCGGCGTTAAAGAACAAACAGTTGATCCGATGGTGTTAACTATTATTTTACAGAAACATAGTAACCATGTTTTTATAAAAATTTAATGACCAAGGTGCCCAGTGATTTTCTTCATTTTCAGACTGAAGAAACCTACACTTGTGACACATGTAGACCTGCACAGAATTTTGGGATATGTTCGTTTCCATGTGTTGCCAGACTACCCAGGTCAATGCCCTGATTCAGTAGCACCCAGCATCTGAATAAGCATGGATGCCACATTCCCAGCCTCCAGACCCGGTCACACTCAGCATTGGTCAGACTTCCCAGCTTCCACATGCACTCAAATAGACCACATCTTCTGGATCAAGTGTAGAGCATTTTCTTGTATCACAGTAAACCAACCCGAATCCCAGTAACAAGACAGGCTGCCATCAGTAATAGCTTGACAACCGTGACTGAATTATGCTGCCACTCCTACCGTAGTCACAAATCTTTTTGTCATGGGAGATTATTGGCATCAAATTTGTTTCAGCTAAGCAATTGCGAATTTTGTTTTTCTAAAACAATATACACATCACTAATTGCCAAAAAGACAATGCAAAAGAACTCAGCCCCTTCTTGTCACATTGTGAGTGATAAACAAAGTATCTCCAAAATAGATTCTTGCCACAAGATGTTTGATTCAAAGCAATCCTATGAGTGAGTGAGTGAGTTGGGTTTTACTCCATATTTAGCAATATGTCATGGCAGGGGACACCAGAAATGGTCTTCACACATAGCAACCATATCGGGAATCGAACCTGGGCCTTTGGAGCCATGAGCGAATGCTTTATCCACAAGGCGACCCTTCCCTCAATCCCTTTGAAGAAACAGAAGCTGACAAGTCTTGTTGTTAATGTGTTTACCTTTCATACACAATAACCAGGTGGGTGAATAAAATGAGTAAATAGAACAAAAAAATGAATTAATCACATTATAAAAAAACAAGCCGCAATAATATCTTCTGATTGCTTTTTACTCTGAAACAGCATGGTTATACAGCTAATTTTCACATGCAATGGCGTGAAATTAATTCAGCTCGAACACTCATTCTAATTAATTTCCCATGCTCGGGGAATTGGATGACACAAATGTGTATATATCAGAGTCATGATTATCACCATGGGGATATATACACCAGGATGTCAGTTTTTCAAACCCTACGCGCGTACTGTACTTGATGAACTTTGATGATCGAGTGATACCACTAATTCCAGGCCTTTATTGTGGATCACTGCAACCGACTGCAAAATTATTGGTTTTGTTTAATGAAGGCATGTTGAGCAAGAAAACACTGCTTCAGGCTAAAACATGGCAAACTTCCCTGATGAAGCGCATTGATTCAACATGCCAATGATAATTAAAAGCTATTAGTGATTGATATTGGTGAAAGGAATTACAGGTTTGCATAGTAACTTGGAATTGTCATTTCAGCTTTCAAAGACAACTGAATTAAGCTTATCAAATATTTGCTTAGAGTCTTCACATGCATTGGCCAAATACTGTATTCAACATGCAAGGTGTCCTGTGACAAGAAGCATCCCCTACCTCTCATTTGTGTCACTGGTTTATCAAATAGAGAATCTCCCCAGAGTGGCTTTTGATATCAAATGTATCAACAAGAGTTGATAAAAGTGGAAAAAGTCCGAGGCTTGCCGAGAAGTTTTACCAATTTTAACAACGATTGTTGATATATTTGATGTCAAAAGACACTCGTCGGAGATTTAAATTATCATTCAACATCATTCTTCCAACTTTTTCAGTTTCTAGACATTACTGTTTCATCTTATTGAAATAATCAAAAGCTTAACCAAATTAATACATTAGTCTTCAGCAAGCTTGTATCCAAACTTAAATGCATGGGCGCTGATGGTTTGATAATATAAAATTCTTGTTTTTCATGATCTACCCTCATCTAAAATTGCCCTGCCTCTAACATATATTTTCAAGCATGCAAAGCGTACATCAGAAGAAGAGTCTGTAAAAGTTTCTCACTCGCATTCAGTTCTGATACCATCTAGAGGCAGATGAATTTAACCCTGCTTAAAACTCCTTGCAATTATGTACTCGGGTCATAATATATCTCAAAGAACATGAAACAGATACTTCACCAAGAATCAACCAAGTACATCAGTCAAAAAACAATGAATTACACATTGCACCCTGTTCCATTAGCTTTCTTAAAGGAGCCTCACCTGAGGTCAATTGGCAGTCCAGGCAAGTTCAGTTCAAATCCCTTAAAAAAACACCTCATTGTATCCTCACTATCCATAATGACACATATCAATCTAACTAGCAGTTTAATGTTTGTCCTTATACACAAACAAAGTTAATGCCAGAATTGTTCCCATGGCACAATGATCTGGAAAAGGTCTCTGTGGACCCCTCACCCCCTGAAGACTGGTGAAATGGTATAACTTTTAACACATGTAAATCCAATGGAGACTTGGGAACAGTGCTAAGACAGCCATACAATACAAGACAAGGCATTTGAACCAAGTTCCATCTAAGATTTACTATTTCAGTATTACGTAAATGTCAATGTTATATGTGTCTTCAAAATAACAGGCTGATGCTTGTATGCTGCTCTACATGATGCACCCTTGAATGGATATTGACATTTTCACAAAAGACAAATGTGTGCTATCTCTGAACATAAATAAACATTGACCGTCTTTCCACAGCAGGATCATGAAATACCAAGGTAATAATTATCTGTGAATGTCAGACTTTCTGAATTATTGATTTTCCATTTATAAAATAGTAATTCACGCAGTACAAAACTGAAACAGCCAATGTGATCCTTCAACCCTAACTGAGAACGTGCCCCTAAAGTCGATGTGACTTCCAGTTGATGTGCAAGCTGGTGTCATCCTCAGGTTGTTGTGACCTTCAGTTAATGTGACCTCCAAGTCCATGTGACCTCGAGTCGATGTGATCTCAAGACCCTCAGGTCCATGTGACCTCGAGTCGATGTGATCTCAGAGACCCTCAGGTCCATGTGACCTCGAGTCGATGTGATCTCAAGACCCTCAGGTCCATGTGACCTCGAGTCGATGTGATCTCAAGACCCTCAGGTCCATGTAACCTCCAGCTGTGACCTCGAGTTAATATGATCTCAAGATCCTCAGGTCCATGAGACCTCCAGCTGTGACCTCGAGTCAATATGATCTCAAGACCCTCAGGTCCAAGTGACCTCCAGCTGTGACCTCGAATCGATGTGAACTCAAGACCCTCAGGTCCATGTGACCTCCAGCTGATGTAACATCGCGTCGATGTGATCTCAACACCCTCAGGTCCATGTGACCTCAAGTCAATGTGATCTCAAGACCCTCAGGTCCATGTGACCTCCAGCTGTGACCTCGAGTCAATGTGATCTCAAGACCCTCAGGTCCAAGTGACCTCCAGCTGTGACCTCGAATCGATGTGAACTCAAGACCCTCAGGTCCATGTGACCTCCAGCTGATGTAACATCGCGTCGATGTGATCTCAACACCCTCAGGTCCATGTGACCTCCAGTCAATGTGATCTCAAGGCCCTCAGGTCCATGTGACCTCCAGCTGTGACCAAGTCAATGTGATCTCAAGACCCTCAGGTCCATGTGACCTCCAGCTGTGACCAAGTCAATGTGATCTCAAGACCCTCAGGTCCATGTGACCTCCAGCTGTGACCAAGTCAATGTGATCTCAAGACCCTCAGGTCCATGTGACCTCCAGGTGTGACCTCGAGTCAATGTGATCTCAAGACCCTCAGGTCCATGTGACTTCTAGCTGAAATGACCTCGAGTCGATGTGATCTCAAGGCCCTCAGGTCCATGTGACCTCCAGCTGTGACCTCGAGTCAATGTGATCTCAAGACCCTCAGGTCCATGTGACCTCCAGCTGATGTTACCTCAAGTCGATGTGATCTCAACACCCTCAGGTCCATGTGACTTCCAGTTGACGTGACCTTGTGTCGTTAAGACCAAAAGACCATCAGGTCCATGTGACCTCCAGGTGATGTGACCTTGACTTGATGTGATCTTAAGACCTCCAGGTCCATGTGACCTACACACAGTTGATGTTTACCTCCAGTCAGCGTGTGCCCACAACAATGTTACTCTGGTCAAGGTTACATTTAACAATCAGGTTAGAGAACGAACTCAAGAGAAGTTGAAGTACTCACCCTAAACTGCTCCAAGTATTCGTTACAAAGTTCCTCATTTTCCCGAACTTCCTCTTTCGCAGTCTCGTCCGCAAGCCGGACGAAGCTGTGTTCCATGCCCTGAAGCCAGGCGATGAACTCCTCCATGGACGTGTCGAACTGCTGCAGGGAGTTGTGGTTGTCCTGGAGGGCCTTCCAGTTGTTGGTCAGTCTGAAACACAATCCAGGTTTCAAATTATTCATATATTAACAGACCCGTGAAGATTCTGGGGTAGAACAGGTCTTCAGCAACCCATGCCTGCTGTAAAAGGCGACTATGCTTGTCGTAAAAGGCGACTAACTAGATCGGGTGGTCAGGCTCGCTGACTTGGTTGATACATGTCATCGATCCCAATTGCTTGGATCGATGCTCATGATGTCAATCACTGGATTGTCTGGTCCAGACTCGATTATTTTACAGACCGCCATCATATAGCTGGAATATTGCTGAGTGCGGCGTTAAACAACAAACAAACAAATCATATCCAGTCTTAACCATATGGTCTTTGAGCACCATGCAGCATGGACAACCAAGGAAGACACCATTTTGTTGTTTCTAACTGAAAATATATAATCCCTGACCCCAAGGTAAAACACATATAGAGGCATTTCCAACCTAGATCTTGATGTTGTATAACTGCCTTGTGTGCAGCCGAGGCGTTGTGTCTCTGAAATTAGGGTAATCAGTGGATCGCTTTACATCATGCAATTCATTGAAACCATGTGGGCAATTGAACCTGTGTTACAAGCATGACAAGCAAATACTCTGACCACTCCTCTACGCCAACCCCAGTAAGTTGCCTCAGATAGGTGGAGGCAAAAAGTGGGATGAACTCTATCTAAAATATAGCCGAGGTTGACATAAAAAAAAGAAAAACTGTTAGTCATGAAGTAAAAAAGATGAGACAGTCACAATATACTACAATGTGAAACAGATTTGTTCTTAGAAATCAGAGTACAAACAGAAGCTCGAGAGAAACAATACCTCAGAAAAGAGGGTTTTCCTCCAAATAGTGCCTATTTCCTATCCAGGTCTTTGAGTGACTTGGAACATTAATTGTCTCCTTGTCATTACATCGCCTATGTGGTCTACTGGATAGTGTGTTTGCCATGAGAGCGGAATGTCAGTGGTTTGAACCCTGACTGCGTCAAGCAAAAAGACATTAAAAGATGGAACTTGTTACCCTGATGGGACGGGTCGGGTGTAAGTGGGGTACAAATAAATCCATGGTATCTCAGTGGGCTGAGGGGCGGTCGGGTAGTCTGGTGGTTAAAGCGTTCGCTCGCCACGCTGAAAACCCGGGTTCGATTCCCGACATGGGTACAATGCGTGAAGCCCATTTCTGGTGTCCCCCGCCGTGATATTGCTGGAATATTGCTAAAAGCGGCGTAAAACCATACTCACTCACTCAGAGGGCTAGTACTATAAAACCTGCATTAGTCTTGTACAATCAGTCCCACTGACACTGACACCCACACACGTCATTATACAAGTGTAAAAATCTTGAACTCAACGTAAAACCCCATTTCACCTCAGAGTCACTGTCAGACTGACACAACATTTCTGTACAAAAAAGGGAATTTATGGGAATTGAATGACACTTGTCCGAGCCAAGTCTTCCTTAACAACAACCATCCTGTTACCACCCTTTGGACAATGGCAATGTACTCCAAGACAGGGGTCGGACAATATACTCTACATCCTAATATCAGACATTCATTAATTTTAACCCATATGCATAATTTAATATCAAGACATGAATATTTAATGCAAATTAACTCCTGCACATAGGATGTCCAACCCTGGGGAGTCCTCCACAGTTTATTCCAGGGGTTCTACAAAGTCAATTCTCATTTCATGGTGGCAATGTAAATGTCCGACCCTGGGATTGTTGGATGTTTCTCAGATTCCATTACACCATGCTTATCAATATTTGATTGCCAGAAGTCACACAACTTCTTCAATACCACCAGCAACAATTCAAGTCCACAAACCTTTTAAACATCCAGAGTTACCCCCCTTTGTGTCATCACAACTAAATTAATAGCAGTTGAGAGCAAAACACTGCATTGAAAGACAAATTTATTCTACTCGTAATCAACACTATTCACTAATGAGCCATTCAGTCATGTTTATTTTATTACAACAGACAATTTGATGAGTGAATTTACAATTATCATCATGCCGCATTGACAAGCCAGTGAGTTTTTGGTACACTTTTCACCATCAATAACACTTTCAATACTTTCAGCAAGCATACTTTATTTAATTGTTAGGCAAGGTTTTGTGTGACAGCGCTATGGAGGTTAGGCTAACAATACAGTTTGTTTGTTGTTTAAAACAGCACTCAGAAATATTCCAGCCGTAACCCAGGAAGGTAAGGCCTAGTTCTTCCCTGGGAAGGTTAGGCCTAGTTCTTCCCTGGGAAGGTTAGGCCTAGTTCTTCCCTGGGAAGGTTAGGCCTTGTTCTTCCCTGGTAAGGTTAGGCCCAGTTCTTCCCTGGGAAGGTTAGGCCTAGTTCTTCCCCGGGAAGGTTAGGCCTTGTTCTTCCCTAAGAAGGTTAGGCCTAGTTCTTCCCTGGGAAGGTTAGGCCTAGTTCTTCCCCAAGAAGGTTAGGCCTAGTTCTTCCCTGGGAAGGTTAGGCCTAGTTCTTCCCTGGGAAGGTTAGGCCTAGTTCATCCCTGGGAAGGTTAGGCCTAGTTCTTCCCCAAGAAGGTTAGGCCTAGTTCTTCCCGAAGAAAGTTAGGCCTAGTTCTTCCCCAAGAAGGTTAGGCCTAGTTCTTGCCTGGAAGGTTAGGCCCAGTTCTTCCCCAAGGAGGTTAGGCCTAGTTCTTCCCCTGGGAAGGTTAGGCCCAGTTCTTCCCCTGGGAAGGTTGGGCAAAATTCTTCCCCGGGAAGGTTAGGCGCAGTTCTTCCCCAAGAAGGTTAGGCCCAGTTCTTCCCTGGGAAGGTTAGGCCTAGTTCTTCCCCAAGAAGGTTAGGCCTTGTTCTTCCCTAAGAAGGTTAGGCCTAGTTCTTCCCCAAGAAGGTTAGGCCTAGTTCTTCCCCAAGAAGGTTAGGCCTAGTTCTTCCCCAAGAAGGTTAGGCGGAGTTCTTCCCCGGGAAGGTTAGGCGGAGTTCTTCCCCGGGAAGGTTAGGCCCAGTTCTTCCCCGGGAAGGTTAGGCCCAGTTCTTCCCCGGGAAGGTTAGGCCCAGTTCTTCTCCGGGAAGGTTAGGCCTAGCTCTTCCCCGGTAAGGTTAGGCCTAGTTCTTCCCTGGGAAGGTTAGGCCAAGTTTCTATTATACAAAAATCGGCCTCAGTCCAGACCAGTGCAAGCAGCAGAACACATTTGACAATCATTAGGTATATATTTAATCAAACAATATTTCTTTTGAAACTTAGAAAGGAAAATGCTGAGAAATGGATTTGGTTATGTCGTTAAGCTTCTGACTATATTTCAACATTTTCCCATACAATGTGTCCCTTTTTAGCTGAACAAAATTAAATCTTTTTCTCGCTTACATAACTCATGACGAATGTTTGCTGACAATCAATGACTTTCAGAACGAACATTGCAATCCATCAACATGGGCTGATAATTACAAGAAATCGGCTTGTAAAACGAACTGTACAGAAAACACCTCTCACATGCACATCCATCACCGTCCGTCTTGAAACTGATGAAAAATGCATCCATAGTCAAACACGTGCCGATACTGAGAGCAGTGATATTTTCTTGCAAGGAACATCATTTGCTGCACTTCTGTGCCCACAAAGATGCAATATATAGCTCCAAGACAACTAATCCCTGGGTCTGTCTCAATATCTGCTGTCATGCTTCCTGTGATGACAGCCATGGAGGTGACCTTGGTGTCTGTGGGTGCAAGGTGGCATGTGCTTTGGTCACTCTGATGTGTTCGGTCACTCAGATGTGTTCGGTCACTCTGATGTGTTCGGTCACTCAGATGTGTCCACACATAAACAAGCTAGGCTCGATTTGGGAGGCTGGACAGGGGACTTGCTATCATCGAGGTATGACGACATGTTTCATCGTCAAAGTGCTTGGTCAAAGTGGTATCCATTTGATTTCAACACTTTTCCAATAATATTAATTAAAAAATAACACATTTGACAATCATTAGGGATCTATTCATATTCATGGAATTTATGGGAATTGAGTGACACTTGTCCGAGCCTAGTCTCCCTTAACAACAACCATCCTGTTACCATCCTTTGGACAATGGCATTGTTCTCCAAGACAGGGACTGGAGAACATACACTTCATCTTAATATCAGACATTTAGGAATAACACTTGCATGAAATGAATACCACAGGTCAAGTTTAATCCATATGCATAATTTAATCAATATCAAGACATGAATATTTAATGCAAATTAACTCCTGCACATAAGATGTCAAACCCTGGGGAGTCCTCCAGAGTTTATTCCAGGGGTTCCGGTATGCATATGCTTTGGTCACTCCAGGACAACACAAATTAACAACAAGTCAGGCTAGATGTGAAAGGCTAGATGCGAGAGGCTAGATGTGAGAGGCTAGATGCGAGAGGCTAGATGCGAGAGGCTAGATGTGAAAGGCTAGATGCGAGAGGCTGGACATGAGACTTGCTTTCATCGAGGTATGACGACATGTTTCATCATAAAAGTACTTGGTCAAAGTGGTATCCATTCTCCTGATGCAATGTTATTGTCACCTTACAGGAATAGAATGTAAAATTGGTTCTTACCCAGATGATATTATCAACATATTTACTATGCTACATACCTGCATAACAACCTGTGTCGTCTGCTTATGGCCTCCCTCCTACACAGTCCATGTCTCCTCCACCCCACACACCTACCCCACATCCACTGACGTCCGCTAGGGGCAACACCACCTCCCTCCTACACAGTCCATGTCTCCTCTTCCCAACACACCTACCCCACATCCACTGACGTCTGCTAGGGGCAACACCACCTCCCTCCTACAGTCCATCTACCCTCAACCCCACACAGCTACCCCACATCCACTGACGTCTGCTAGGGGCAACACCACCTCCCTCCTACACAGTCCATCTACCCTCTTCCCCACACACCTACCCCACATCCACTGACGTCTGCTAGGGGCAACACCACCTCCCTCCTACAGTCCATCTACCCTCAACCCCACACAGCTACCCCACATCCACTGACG